TTCAGCCATCGCCAGGTAAGTGCAGAAAGCGCCCAGCTTTCTACCTCTTCTTCTTCTTCTTCTTCTTCTTCTTCTTCTTCTCCTCTCCTCTTCTCCTCCTACTCCTCCACAGTTCTTTCCTCTACTTCTTCTTCTTCTTCCTCGTCTTGATCAGAGTAGATATAGAGGTGACTGCAGACATTGTTTGGGCACGGCATTCTGCCTTATTGGACACGGCATTCAGACCGGACTTACACGCTACATTGGGATTGAACTGTGCACGACATTCGGAGATCAGACTTGGGTTGGACTTGGTTACCTCCTATGTCCCTCCCCCCCCTTCTCTCTCGCATGTCTATGGAGCTCTCCCTATGTGTGTGAGCGGAAGGGCAATCTCTCTAATGTCCTGCCCTTCCGAAGTTTCTCCCTTTCATGTTGTTGTCCACGTGTCCTCTTGGTTACTATTATTCCGCTGCGCTGTTCCCCAGCCCATGATAATGATGATGCAAATGTGTTGTTGTTGTTTTTCTCGTTGGTTTACTTGTTGCATTGTGCACATTGACATCTGGTGAATGTTGCATCTATGTTGCTGGTTGTTGCCACTTTCATCATTGCTAGATCCTAGGCTGTTAGTGCATTTCACTTTCTGATATGCTACAGCTGCATAAGACTTTAGGAACCCGAAATGTCCACGGGCATCATGACACTCTGACATCAGCAGTGTCCTGAGCCGCTGGTCCTGAGGAATGCACAAGCGCTCCTCACCTCTGCTATAACTATACAGCAGGTCTGAACTCAGAGCATAGCCTGGTTCAGAGTTAGGATCTGCTTGCAAATTCCTGACAATGGGTCCGAAAGTCTCGTCCTGGGGCAGTAGACGAGCAATGGTCTGACGGGTCTCCTCTCCAAAGGAGTGAGTAGAGGAGATCAGCGCAAAAGAGTCAGGCCTACGAGAGAGGGCATCTGCTACCTTATTGTAGCAGCCCTTCTTGTGCTTCAGTTCAAAGTCAAACATGTCAATGAACTGAATGTACCGTGCCAACTTATCATTCAACTCTCCCTGGGACTTCATCCACTGCAGGGTGGAGTGATCTGAAAAGATCTTGAAGTGCCTGCCCAGGAGAAAGTGCTTTCAATGTTTCAGGGCACAGACAAGAGCATAAAGCTTTTTCTCGTAGGTAGAGTCCTGGAGCTTTTGAGTCTTGATCTTCTTACTCGTAAACTCTACAGGTCGTAGACCATTCCCATCATCCTGCTCAAGAACTGCCCCAATGCCATACTGACTGGCGTCAGTAGTCAGGATGAATGGCAAAGTGGGGTCAGGCAACTTCAGTACAGGAGCACGAGTCAAGGCCTTCTTGAGTCGTGTGAAGGTCAGCTGACAGTGGAGGGACCAAAGGAAGGGAGTGTCTTTCTTTGTTAGGTTAGTCAGGGGTGCAGCCACTGCAGAAAAGTTCATGACAAACTTTTTGTAGTATGAGGCCAAACCCATGAAGGACAGGACATCCCTCACTGTCTGAGGCTGAGGCCACTCCTGAATAGCAGCAATCTTGGCTGCTTCAGGGGCCAGGCCATCTCCAGAGATTACATGACCCAGATAGATGATAGAGGGAACTCCAAAGGAGGACTTCTCTCTGTTGATCTTATACTGGCTGTCACGTAATGACTGAAGGACAAGAGCCAAGTGCTCCGCATGTTCCCTGGCAGTTTTGCTGAATACCGGGATATCATCCAGGTAGACAACCATAAACTTGTCCAGGTAAGGCCTGAAGATGTGGTGCATCTCTGTCTGGAATGTGCCTGGGGCATTGCAAAGTCCAAATGGCATGACCAGGAACTTGTAAGTCCCATACCTGGTCTTGAAGGCTGTCTTGTAGACATCCTCCTCTACCATCTCAATCTGGTGGTAGCCAGACTTGAGGTCGACTTTGCTGAACACTGTGCAGCCCTGCACTATATTCAGGAGGTCATCGATCCTAGGAAGTGGCTCAGTACTCTTCCTAGTGATCTTATTGAGACCCCTGTAGTCAATGCACATCCTGAACTCGCCGTTCCCTTTGGGCACAAAGAGAACAGGTGCACCGAATTCAGATGTGTTGGGTCTGATCCAGCCTTTGCTGGTCAGGGTCTCAAGCTTCTTTCTGAGCTCCTCAAGCTCAGCAGGGGACATCCTGTAGATGCGGCCCTTGGAAGGGACCGCTCCAGGCAGCAGCTCGACGTGATGCTTGGTTGGCCAGTTGGGAAGTCCAAAGGGCTCCTGCATCAGATCAACATACTGATCTACCACCTGCTGTATCTTAGGAGGACAGGAAACAGGGGGAGCATCTGTTTGCTTGACCAGGGCGATAAACAGACGCTCATGGTGGTACTGGCGAGAGAGAGCATGAAACTCCCTCGCTCTCAGGCAGTAGCAGGAGGTCTTAGGGTGGTGATCAGCAGCAATCATGCATTGCTGATACACCCCCTGGTTGTCTGGTAGCTCAACTCTAGGAATCTGCCAGTCGATCCTAGGGTTGACTTCCCTCAACCACTGCATGGAGAACACCAAGTCAAAGGGAAGCTCAGGGAAGATGTAAAAGTTCAGACTGTGTCCGACTTTCCCTGCAGTATCGAAGGTCACAGGGATGCCCTTGACCTTCTCCCTGATGCTGATCACTGTAGAATCACCAATCCGCACTTGCAGCGGCTGCTGCAGCTGCTGAACTTTCATACCCTGATGCAGTTTTTTGACTGCACTGGGAGATATGAAGTTCCGGGTGGCTCCACAGTCCAAAAGCCCAGTGATCCTGGTGCGGTTGATCAGTGGCCGAAGCATGATGAGTTCAGACAGGCCCTTCTTCTTTTGCTCTTTCAAGTGGAAGAAGAAGGCAGCAATGGACTGAAGCTCATGCTGCCCCGGGTCCTGATCCGGGTCAGGATCCTCATAGCAGAAGGATGCTGCCTGCGCATTCCCCAAACACACATCATCACCAACAGTCTCAACTGAAACAGTTGCAGATTCACCTATCTGAATAGATGAAGATGCAGCACTAGAGGGAACTGCAGTCCCCAGGGTCTGTTTCAGTTTTTTGACCGACCCGGGCCTGGCATGTAAGGGCAGTCCTTTAAGAAGTGTTGTCCCTCACATCTCAGGCAGACCCCCTTCTCCTTTCTTTTCTCCAAACTCCCTCCTGGATCTTGAGGTCATGCCAGGGGAGCGAGGAGGGATTGAGAGGGTCAGCTGGCATGCGGACGTCTCTAGGAAGATTAGGGCGCTGGGAAGAGGAAGGTCGACGTCCCTTATCCTTCCCCTTAGTAGAGGCTAAGGTTGTGGAGGGGGAATACTTTTTCGGCGCTTGCAGAGCTCCCAACACAGCCTGAGTCACTACTACTGCAGCATCTGTCTCAGCAGCAGATCCGGTCCCACCTGAAGGCACATCAAGCTGAGAATCGGTATCTGATCCTGAGGCAGACCCCGCATGAGTAAAGGATGTCTTTCCCCTCCTGTTGCCTCTAGGGAAGGCACCTTTCCTCCTGTCAGAGGTTGGGGCCTGGACATGGAGCTTAGCTTCCATTTCCAGGGCTGCACGACCAAAGGACCTCCAGTCCTTGTACCCGGCGGTGTAAAGTGCAAGAGCGAACTTCTCAGGCGCTGCCCTGCAAAAGCTGGTCAACATATCATCAGGTGCCATGACCAGCCCAGGGGTGGAGGTGAGCTGCTCGAACTCAGCAATCCTGTCAGCAGCCTTGCGGGCCCGCTCTTTGTTTGCAAACCGGTCCTCCAGGGCCTGCAGAAGTCTGTCTACCCCCAACCCAAAGGCCCAATCCTCCATGGACTGCTGCAGACTGTTGGAAGTTGAGGTGGCCCATTTCAGTGCAGGCCCTTCCAGCAGCCCCAAAACAGTTGCCACCTTGGTCTGTTCTGCACAGACAAAGCCCCTCAAGTAGGCTCTGGTCCCAGCAGCCCAGTCCCCAACATCAGTCTTGGGGTCATCGCCCCTGAACTTGTTGGGAGCAGGGATCTTGGGACCTCTGTCTGTTGCAGTCACAGCAGCATAGGTGGCCTTTACTAAGGCCTTTTGGGAAGGAGTAGATGACCGGGAAGAATGTACAAATCCCCCATGGGATGAAGGAGGGGAAGGAGGTGGTGAAGGAGGAGGAGAGGTTTTGGGTTTCAGCAGAGGGAGCTGAGGAGTAATCAGCTTGGCGGCTGCCAGCTGAGCAGACAAGCCCTGGATAGAGTCCAGCATCTTGGACTGCTGAGCTGACAGCTCGTCAACCCGATGCTCCAGCCGCACAAAATGATCATCCCAGTTTGTGAACTGGGAACTGGTGATCTTGTGCTCCAACAGGATCATCTCAGCCATGTGCTTGGTGACATGGGAGCACCGATCATCAGTGAGCGACTTCTCTAGCTGCTGCAACAGATACTCCCTTCTGGAGTGATCTGTTGCAGCCTCTAGCTCAGCAGCCTCCAACCGTTCCAATTCGGTTACTCTGGCCTGTTGCAGTTTGAGTTGTTCTTCTGCCTCCTTCTTCAGTCTCTGAGTAGCAATCAGAGGTGGAGGGGGAGTAGTGGAGGAAGAAGGCTGTTCACCTTCTGCCTTCACCACAACCTCTACATGTGGCTGCTGCTCATTCCCCTGATCCGACATTTTCCCAGTTCAAATAAAACCCAAAAATAAAATAACACCAGAAAGAATGCCAGCGATACACAAATTCCTGCAGATACTCTGGAATTGCTGCAGCACTCAACACTGGAGTAGATGGGTGAGTAGGCAATCAACGGTTTGGGGTTAGAAGGGTGTCTCTGGGGTTAGGGGTCAGGTAGACTGTAAGTCCAGCAAAATCAATCACACGATTTCCTTTTTCTGACCCTGAACCACACTGGAAGTCACACAGTCACTCCACTAGTCTTCCAGAGACCCACTAGAAGTTCCAGTGTCCACTAGAAAACAAGTGTAATCAGTGGGAATGACAGAAATGGTTAGTACAGACACAGAGAGATGGAATACCACAAGTGATGCAGACAGAGACCCTGTAACCTGACTCAGACTCAATTTCATACACTGATGACTCTGGCAGCCATACCCTAGGGTATGGTGAATCACAGTTTTCACTGTATCCAGTGAAATACTAGAAATCCAACTCTGCGATTTGACAGTACTGACAGTTTTCACTTTGCGATTCACTGGGGACTAACAGGACTGAATTCTGACAGACAGAATTGAAGTTATGACTGACCCTAGATAGCACAGGCTAAAAATAGACTCAGCGCAAAACAACAATTCCCAGTATCACTACTTTTCCAGTGCAGAATTCACTGTTTAAACATCCCAGGACAATCGCAATACAGTATAACTGTCACAGGACAAGTTTGGACTGGAAAGAGTCAACAGATGATGAGATATGAGCAGAGGGAGGTAGGGGGAGAGATGGCTATGGCTGTCATGCAGTCTGCGATTTTCCTATCCAGTGACGGACAGACAGATAGTCCATAATCTTTCACTAATCTACTACTATCTGGATCGCAATACAGGTAGGTGCATGGAACGGACTCACTTGCAGAGAATCTTGCAGGTGATGATGAAGATCTGGCTATGGCTGATGATACCCTGATCTCGCCAATTTCCTCCAGAGCTTCTCCCAGACAATCCCACGCACAGAACCTCCTCAAAATTGTTGATCCTCTTCAGGATCCTGTGGCGCTGCACCCCTTCACTCCAGATACCCTGTATCTGGTCCTGTGGCACCCAATTCGCCAACTCCAAAATATCTCGCCACAGTACCAGGTGGCCGTTGATACTAAAAATAGCCCCAGATGGGGTTATTCTTCTAGGAGATTGATTCAGGATGTCAATCTCACCCAGCGCCACCCAAGGATGCTGCCGCTCAGGGTTCCCTGATGTCCTCAGGGGTAATTCGCTGTATCACCCTCAGGGTTGGCTATGGCAAATAAGCCCTGCACTCGCCACTTCTTGCCAAGCGCCCTGACAGGCTCAGTGCGCTTGTTCAGTGCAACCACTGAACACTTGAATTCACCGCTGAAAATCTTCTTCCCTGCTGACTCAGTACTGGGGAAGATGAATCGCCATGAAGCTCTTGCCAGTATATCGCTAGGATGAAAAAGATGCCTCAGTGCGCTCAACCCTCAGTGCTCCAATTCCAATCTCGCTCCGATACCAACTGTTATGAAACTGTCTGTGTGTGAGTGGCGAGAAAATTCGTCAGACAACCAAGTTCATAACATTACCGTATGAACCACCTACAGAGCGTTGTACTGATAGGTTGTCTCCACCAGGGCGAGATGTTGCAGACCAAATCCTGCAGCAGCCGAACACCCTAGCTTTGGATCAATCTCCCCGGCCGTCGTCTACCCATAGAGAAGGAATAAATACTGAGGAAACCCAAGAAACTTGCTCCATGCCGCTTTGTGATGACCCACCGGAGATTCAGCTAGCATGTGGTTCGCATGCCTTATGCCATGAGGATTATGAAGGGATAGCTCGGGCGAGCTTTTTGTCTTCATACGTATGATGACAGTCTATACTGCACTCATGTACGGCACCCTGACATGTCATGTCCAATTTGTAGACAGGGCCTGGAACGGCAATGCCTCCACAATTGCGCTCGACGTGCCTCTGTGTTCCTAGCATGTAGGAGGTCGACGTGCCTCTGTGTTCCTGGCATGTAGGAGCCACGTAGCCTGCGACATCTATCTACGCTGTGCCATTTGATGCGGTAACTCTGACTGCAAGAATTGGATGTGGTGCTTCCACAGGCCACACCCAAACCAGTCCTGCCCGGTCTGTAGAGGTGGCCACTTACCATAGGCAACAACTGCTCCTGAAATCTTATGCAACCCACACACTGACTGGCCTCATGTGCCATTCTAGAGTGGTATGCCCCAGAGGTCACTATTTAGAACCCTGTCAGAACTCCACCTCCCATTTCATTCCTCCCTCCTCTTCTGTATTACTAGTAATACATACGAATGAGCGTCATTATGAGAACAGACAAAATATATGTCCGCCTTTGCTCTGCCTCCTTTCATAGTCACTGTGTGCAAGTGGGCTGTTATGACACACGGGGATGTGGGCAGCCCGCGCTCGACCACAATTAACGTGGTGAGCCTTGGGCATGAGAGGCACGGTAAAAGGGGAGCTGCAAGAACAAATGAAAGGGGTACCCCGAAGAAAGCAAATGTGAACGCATTCAAGAGAGGGGTTCACAACTTTACATGCTTCTATTGTGGTTGCTTGCTATAGAGGTGAAACTGTTTCATTGAAGGGTTGTCTAAAGGGCTTTCATTGTCTGTAATAGGATTGAATATGCTTTGATTTTGGATCTGTTGCGGTGGAATAGGGGCTGTTGTGGTGAAAATTCAAAACACACACCGTGACACACACACACATGACATACAGCCAAGGCAGGGTTTTTTTATTTTTTTTAACCACCAGTACACAGCCCCAGGCGACTGGAGAACCTGTTTCGAGCCTCTCCAAAAGTCAAAAAAAAAAAAAAAAAAAAAAAAAAAAAAAAAAAAAAGAGGGCGAGGGCATCTTCAGAATTTTCAGAAATTTTAAAAACGGTCACCAGACTTAGCTAGGGCAACAAGCGACACTCGGGAGCGTGACGGTGATGGGGGTGATATGGGTGATGGATTGGACGATGGAGACGGCATGGAAGACGCCGAAGCTGACATGGAAGAGGACACAGGCATGGCGCCCCTGGCCAATCCCGAGGCCTTGCAACGAACGCCGGGGCAAGGACATTCACAGCTGCAGGAACGAAATTCGCCAGGATGAAGAACAAAGAGCGGAAATGGATGGACGTTGCGACGCGTATGCTGGCTTTGGGGGTGACAATTGGGATGTGTGTATGAAACGGTGGGAAAACATAATCGGGTGGTACAGGAAGGTGCTGGATCAAGAGGAGTCGTCGGGGTTGCAGTCCTTCTTCACACTAACCCCAAAGAGGTACAAGTTCCAAATGGACCGTCGATTGTATGACGCCACCCATGGGATGCAGCACGGCAGCCAGACAGCGCATCCTCCGAATCTGCTTGGGACAGGGGCGCCGAAGCAGCAAGGTGGTGGGGGCAGGAAAGCCAGGGGGGGTGTAGGTGGGGAGACCTCTGCAAGTGAAAACTGTGAGGGGGCTGTCGGGGATGGGTACAGGAGCAGGTTGTCGAGCGGAGGGAAGATGACAAAGCGAAAGAATGCTCGGCAGCATGCGTTTGAAGCCATTACGGAGGTCATGCACGCACACTCCAAGGTGGTGGCCGAGTCCATCGACAGGGCAAGCAAACGACAATGCGATGTGTTGCAGCGTCAGTGCGACATAATGGAGAGAGAAGTGAAATGACAAGAGACTCAGTGCGAGGTGTGGGATTCGCGACAGCGGATGCTGTGTGATGCGTTGTTGAAGATTGCGCAGGCTTTGTGCAAGGATTGATGTCGGTGATGGATGAACTTCGGGCAGCGGATAATGAAGATCCGCCCAATCCATGGTGCGCTGTAGGGGTGGTAGGTACGTTCAAAGAGTTGAGGTCACTGTTTGTGGTTTAAAATGGAGTGTCGGGAGAAGAAGAAAACGGGCTATAACATCCAAAAAACTTTGTGCTAAACAATCCTTTGCCATTCTGCTAATGAACGACGATAGTTATATACGAATGTGTCTAGCCGGTCATTGATCATTAACGAGGGGTTACCTCTTGTTCGTGTTCACGGAGCCCCCGACGCGGATTGAGGGGCTCACTGGCGGGGGTACGGTAGGTTTAAGGGGCGGGGTGGTGAGTGGAACAAGATTGCACTGTTTAGGGACACACATGGACAGTGTGTGCGCATGGAACATGTGTGTATGTCTTTATACGATGGCGGAGATGTATGTGGCAGGCATGCGATAAGTCCGGCCATCCTTCCTCTAGAGCTCTCCCGACTTCCATTTTGTGGACTCGACAGCGGGTGTTGGAAGGCGAAGTGCGAAAGTGACTCCAGCACTGTTTGTGAAGAGCCATCGTCGGAGGATTGGAGGACATGGATGTTGTCATCCGATGTAGGAGTCACGTTCTTCGGTTGTCAGTTGTGTTCTATGAGATGCAGCATCGTAGGGGCGATGTGTACAAGAGGAACTTGGATTTCGTGGACGTCGTCACCTGCCATGATGTCTGGTACGATGAGGTGGCCGCCGATGGGGACACGTGCCTACGAATGACTGTTGGTCTGGGGTATATCCGAAGGATGCTTGCCAATACATCATACACGCGTCCAAGGTGGGGATGGCCATCCCGGATCGGTGGGAGGGCGGAGTTGATGTCCTCGGCAAGATCGTGCAAATCCTCATCTTGAACATCGCCATGGAACATGAGGACCTTCTGCATGGCGAACGTACTTACTTAGTGATGTCGGAGCCGCCTTTGGAGGGGAGAGAGTATCTGTGCAGCGAAGTGGACATTCTGCACGATGATTTTTTTTGAGACGGTGGACGGTGGTTGTCATAGGCGACTGCGATGGTGAACGATTGCCTAGGAGAATGGAGGATGACACGCGCGCATAATAAAGATAATGACACACACACACACACACACACACACACACACACACACACACACACACACTGAGAGAGAGAGGCTTCCACCAGGAGGCCATGGCCGGCATGTATAGAAGCATGAATTCGGAAACCTGACAGTTGGCAAATAGTAAAGTATTCTTCAAATTATTTTCGATGTTTGAATAGACATGTGAAGATGTTGTGCTATTGTACTTCTCCGTCTCCTCGTGATATTGCTTGCATGGCTATATGATACCGTTTCGATTGAAAGTCGCTGCCAAACCCTGATGTTTCCATGTCACTATTTTTCAATTTGTCAGGTTCTTCAATTTGTCATCCTCCTGTATCCCATGGCTTCCTTTTTTTTCCCCTTTGTATTTGTCTTTCAGATCGCGTGTCGTCAAATTTCATTTTCATCATGTTGTTCATTTTCATCATCTTGTTCATTTTCATCATGTTGTTCATTTTGCATGTTAATTTAAGGTCGTCGTTGTTGTCAACCTTCTTTAATATCGTGGTTGAAAGGGTACACAATTTGCGACTATGCTCCTTGAATTATCAATTGGATCGGGTCCGAAATCATGTGGGCCAGTTGAAGTAAGTTTTCCTTTTCGTGTATGTTGTGAACATCACGAGGTAAAGGCAATGCGTGGTTTTTGCATGCACACGATTAGGGTTGGAAATGAACCGACTATTTCAGGTTCTCCCGGGGTTTTTCCCGTCAGAATTTGGTTATGGGTGTTTCCTTGAAAATGAACAGACTGTCATATGCAACATAAAGAAAAGGTGACTAGAAAAACAAAGACACGACAAGAAAAAGGGAAAAAGGGAAGGTTCGCGCACGACTTCCTTTTCGACAATCTAAGTTTTTTTCTCTTTTGTGATTTGAACTTCCTTCACTAGGTCTCTGTTTCTCTTGTTCGCACTAACAAGGAATGCGATGAACGCAATAAAACGTGAAGAAAGGGATCACAATAACATGACAAGAAAATGGAAGAAAGCAAAGGTCCATATACAAACTTTAAAACTTAAACCACCGGTACTTCCTAAAGTTGTGCTCGTTAACAAACCACAATTTAAGGAGACATACGGGCCAATACAGGAGTGCCCAAATTCATTTGACTAGAAACGTTGCTACTCTATTTTTCCCTGCGGCCAATAGTTAGGCCAAGTACTGGTGGTTTAAGGTTTATCAGTTCGGGTTTCGATTTGTCCTTGACCGGTTCATAGTCCTTAGTAACATGACTAATAATCCTACAGATACCAGCTTCTTTATAGACAATGTGAGTCTAAAGGAACTTGAAGAGTCATTTCCTAACAGGTAGAACTTGAAGAGTCATTTCCTAACAGGTATTTTCCAACTCCACCCTCCTTAATTCCCTTCATTACATCCTTATCATCCACAACTTGAAATTTAGCAAGTAAGACACCCCAAATAGAAGAATGTCGTCTTCTCGCTGATTGACCAAGCAAGCAGACAACTTTGCGCCTCTGGTTACATATGCAAAAATGTTCGGCCTTTCAGAACACAGGGTTCCCCGTGGAGCATCGGTGATTCCGTCACGCGCCCATCCATTCGTATGCGCACGAACAAGGTTAACCTTCACCTTCCTGGCAGTATCTTTGAAACCACAATCACAATTGGATCTTTTAAACCACCAGTACCTACCGCATTTTTCGTACCCGCCCCGGTCGAATGAATATGAACCCGACTGGCAGACCGATTCGGCTACCGCATTACCGACCGCAACAACTGGTAGGTACTGGGCGTTTAACCACTTAACTATGATCTGATTGAATTCACCATTAACCATAAACACCACTTCTCTTCCTTTCATTTCCACTCCATCACATGGGACATCTTTTGGTACGTTTCAGTCCTCATAACAAGGAGCAAAAAACTCTCTAATTCACTCTTCTTGCAACTCCGCAGAACCCGGATCCGCTGGGGGAGATCTCACTTTCAATTCGCCTTACTCCTCCATGATGATTTTTGGTCGCAGTCGCTTCACCATTGTTACCACAAAGGAGGGAAAACACAAGCTTGATGATCACCATGTCTTCTTATAAATAAACCACAATGGCGGTTTGAATATGAAGAGCTGAGGTGAAAAGGTTGCATAAAACCTAATTAGCATGCGGAGAAAGATCACCAGCTTCCACTTTTTACCTTACCGAGGTGAAAAGCAAAAAAGCTACTTTGAAGTCAATAATATCCGTACCAACAAGGAGACAATATTATGACTCTAACGCTACGATAAACTCCAACCAAACTTATTGCTATGTGGTGGCTAGGGCTACGCGGACCACCATGTCTCGTATACATTGACATGTTACCGTGGTGAAAATGCGTAGTGAAGAAAGCGGTCAGGTAACGCTCGCCCACATGGTGCAGACATGTTACCAAGTAGGCTACGTGATTTGGAACTAGTAGTTGGCTCGGTCGCAAGCACTAATGCAGCACCACAAGGCGAGGCCATCCACCGTGTCTTTGATTTAACCCTCATGAAAACTCTCTTCTATTGTATACTTGTATGATAATTTTTTCTTCTCTCTCTAAAAGTCCCAATGTTTCTTTTAATATATAGCTCTATTCCACTTTACACTCAAATAAGTTAGGCAAAGTATGTGTGTTTGCCCTTTACTGAAAAATAACTACAAACCTTAAATCTATCTACTTTCCCCCATCTCTCTACTACTTCTACTTCTTCCTCTCCCTCTTCTTCTACTGCTACTTTTTCATTTTCTCCTTTTTCGACTGCCCCTTTTTGTTTTCTTCACCTCCTTGGAAATCTCTACCATCCATCCTAAAACAATTTTGTCGTAGCATAATTTTTTCCATAAAATGGATTGTGAGCTTAATATGGAGCTTGTGAGAGCATGAGGATTCCTAAGAAAAACGTTTTGCAATATTTCACCACCATGTTTAAGTCTAAAGAATTGGTTGAATGTTTTCACGTTGAAAGAGACAGTTTGCCACGACTATACTCATGGGGATCTTGCCATGTATCAAAACACACACACACGCACGCACACACACACACACACACACACACACACACACACACACACACACACACACAYACACACACACACATACACAAGTGCACGCACGCAGACATACACACTTTTTCTTTTTTTCCCCCCAAAACGTTCCGCTTCATCCCACTAGAGGGGTGATATGAGCATCCCCCTATAGTAGACTTTCGGCAGGATGCTCCTGTCTATCAGTGGGGAGCGGCACCTGCTGGAAACGCGTCCAGCGTCCCATGCACATTGTGGATAAAGCACCAGCTGCAACCCCCTCCCCCCCCCCACACTCTTGGAGTTGTGTATAACGAACATGACAAACATAAACACAGTTGTGTATAACGAACATGACAAACATAAACACCGTATTCGCAGCCCTAAGGTTGCGGTATAGTGGGCTTCGGCGTCTGTGTCAAGGTGTCGCATTTTTGGCAGTGGGCGACCAGGAAAAGTGGGTCCTTAGGGGGCAAAAAGTTTTTTGGGACCGGCCCTTAGCAAAATTGCGGACTACCCACAGCGAGCTCTAGTAGAACCGGGACTTCTGGAAAAAGGAAGGACCGGTCCTCGGGTGGAAGCGGACCCCAAAAAGAAGTGAGGGCATGTGAACTGCAAAAGGCCCTCAGGCCCAGGCGTTGAGGCCCATCTTTTCAAAACAGGGAGGTCAGGCGCAACGAAACAAACGTTCTGCAAGAGGCAACTTTGTCAATTTTTTTTGGTCGAAGGAGTCCGCAGAAAAGTCTGAAAGTTTGAGAATCCATAGACGAGGTCGTGTTCTTTCCAAAAAAAATATCAGAACATTTTCAAAAAATCAATTAGACCGCGAAATAATCGTCGCGCTGATTCGACACATTTTCCATTTTTGCCACTCAGCCTTGTATGGGCCAACTGAAAAAGTACTTGAAATTCTGGGAGTTTTCACGCTCAGAAGAATGCATGAGAAAACCTAAAAGGCCGTCCTGTCCAGATTTGACAGGTAATTGAATTGGTTGGGCTTAAAAAATTAACCTTAAATAATAATAATAATAATAATAATAATAAAAATGGAGTGCTCGTAGATTTTGTTGTGATCTTTCCAGGAAAAATACTAAATAAATTTTAAAAAATCATTCCAATTATGAAATAGACCGTGGCCGCAATTTGACCCATATTTCAATCTCGCCATTCAGCCTCTCTCTCTCTCTCTCTCTCTCTCTCTCTCTTTCTTTCTCTCTCTCACTCTCTGTCTCTCTCGCTCACTCATATCAATAAATGGAACAAAACTCTCTCTCTCTCTTTGTCTCTCTCTCTCTCTCTCTCTCTCTCTCTCTCTCTCTCTCT